CCCCCTCTTCTGTCTCCCCATCCTCCTTGATTCCCACAATTCGTGTACAGTAAACTTTGATATTCGGTCAATACCGAATATCTCGCGCCAACGACAAAACTTGTACATTCGATTGCATTATCAATGCGTATCAATTGATGACGTCATTGTAATTATTATAAATATTAATCGAGATTTTTCTTCTGTTCTCTTAACATGTTTATATGTAAATTAGTACGTAAGCGATCATAGATTTTTCTTTGTCTTGTCGTCGGTGGTCATCTTGCAATTTCATTTCGCTCTTCTTAGTTTAAGATTGTCTTGTCCCCCCCCCTCTCCTTCCCCTCCCCCGTAAACATAAGAAAAATTCACTAGACGTTAGTTTATAATTCTTCATAGATATTGTAAAAGATCCCGTTACAACGCAGTATTTGTCCGAAAGACTTTTTTTTTGTATGAGAATGTTGGTAGTACCGATTATAAATGGAACCGCGTTCGATGGTCGGGTACACTGATATAAAATAATAATTAACGCTAATCGGATCTTGGCGAGTGCGATTTGGCCTCGGTCGGATTGATTTTGTTGTTTGTAATAAGTGGGAGAAGCAAAAAATAACGAATAAATAATTCTCAACCGGTATTACGAATAAAATGAAAAGGACTGGTAGTTGAGCGTGTAAATTCTTTTATTGCGCCTTTCTTTTCAGGATATACTGTATAACTTTACCTGTTGCTATGATGAACGATTGTTATCGCCATTGATAGTCATTCGGTACATTGCGCGCATTACTTCCATTACCATAAGTATTAAAATCAATGACTAACTACTGAAGCTATTAGCGTGGGATCATTCAACGATTGTCTGTCATTATGTGTGCATTTGTGATGGACCTTATACTGTATGTGCCGAAATTGTAATAAGAGATTGCTCTTAGTTTTTGTTTCTTAATTGGCTTTTGACGTATTTTTTTTTTTTTTTTTTCATTTCATTCACAGCGACGAGGCTGCAGCTACTTTTTCAATCCTGGGCGTGGTTTAACGATTATTAATGATAATAGCCGGGTATACATATAAATGATAATGATTAATAAGGTTAATGCTATTTAACGAGGAAAACGTCTGTTTACGTCTGCTTACGTAATTCAGGCCATCGCAATAACGATAAACTCATTTGTGTATGATATGTGTCTCTCGTCAAGATAACAAGAGTAACCTGTAACACTTGCGATCGCTACTACAAATATATAGTAATTGTATTATTATTGTGTTATTATTATTTTTGCGATTATTATTGTATTATTAAATTTGTAGCAAAACTGTACAGAGCCGAATAAATCAAAAATTTCATAAAGCCTGTAGACTTTGTAGTCAAGACAATATTTATTTATTTTTTTTTTCTTAGATTATTTAGCGGTTGTAATCTCGCATTAATAAATTAATAAATAATGATAAACTTAAAATTAGTCGAAATGTAAATTATAATGGAAATAGATGTTCCTTGATTATTTTAAACAGATTTTATGGTTAGTGATGAAACATGAGATCCGTCTGAAAAACGAAGAATTTGTGTTCCAGACTTTATGAAATATTTACTCTTTGCTATTTTTTTCTTCTCAATTTTCCATCTTTTCATTAGTTCATACGAAAAGAGTCCTAAAATTCTTTTGCTACGATTATATTCAATTGGTCGAACATTATCTATATATTTTAATCAAGCAAAATTCATAAAAACTTATGTAACATATATGAAATTATTTTGATGGAGCATGGAAGCATTTTAGAATATAGGGATATAGGGATAGAATATTTTTGTATCGTCTTGTATAAACTTTCACAAGATTCTACAGACTTATAATGTATACGAAAAAATTCTTTTATGCGTGCCTTCATTTTAATTAATAGATGTACATACTTTATTTTTGTATCATGTACGTCCTATATTGCATGTTCATACAAACATTTGATTTATGAAGTATCGTGTCAAGGTATTATATAAATTAAATGAAGTAGTTTCAATATAAAAAAGTAAGCCCGTTATAGGGGATCGAACTATTGATTCTTTCATTATGAAACTGATTCGCTGTCATTGTGCTACTATGATATAAATTAGTGGCAAGCGAATTAGAACTGAATTTTCGAATCTGGAAGTAGGATTTTGTGATCATCGCCTCCGTCGACAATGGGAATACCGTCGTAGCCGAACGCTTCACGAACGTGTTCATGTTTAGCTCGGCTACGACGGTATTCCCATTGTCGACGGAGGCGATGATCACAAAATCCTACTTCCAGACTCGAAGCTGCGATTTCACGCCATGATTTTGGTATCGCCTAAAACCGTAGGGTTGTGCATCTCCCTACTCATTTCTGTGCGAACCATTTAAATTGAGAGTTCTGTCGCGGAGGCATTGTTGTATGTAGTGGCATCATGTTAGCTTCGGACGTGACGTCATTGGATCTGCGCTCTCCGGACGAAAATACGTTCGCTAGTGGCTATACCTCGTCTATTTACATGATGACTACAACCACACAGAGATGACGAAAAAGGAGGAGAAAAAGCTTACAGCTCGCTTGCTCTATAAAATGACCAACGTCACTCTAATCATTGACAGCTGTTCGACTGTCATTATGTAAATAATTTTCTGAAAATGTGTGAACCAACAAATTTTTGAACCCACCTTAATTGCACGTACTCTTTTAACTCCCAGTTAAATGATTTCCTGTTTACTACAATCAAAATACACTATAATACTGTAAATATGGGCGAAATCCTACGAACGTGGCTTAGAACGAGACTGGGAATAATAATCGACTTGACACCTGAAATATTCGGACACTACGCAAGGGACGGCACGCTTATGGCTAAATTGCTTCACAGTTACGACATCATTAGCAGCAGTCAATTAAACACAATAAAAGGCACTCAGGATCCCGCGTTGTGTCGCGTTAACCTAAAACATCTGCGTCTGTGGTTGCAATTTATCGGCGTCGACTGTGACAACGACTACATACAGGACATCTCCAACGGTCGCGGTACCACGGCTTTACGTCTCTTCTACAAGATCTTCCTCAGCTTGGAGAACAAGGACAGTCTCCATTTTATAACACTGCAGAAGGAACGAGAGAAGTACGTACCCACGTCCAGTAAGTTCGACGTCAATGTAATATCTGATGAGAATGTAGAGAAAGACGCAGTAGATCATCCTCTCGCAGAAACTCTTTTGAAGAATGCAGACAGCATCGAGTGGCATCGTAGCAAATACCAATCGATAATCGACGCCTGTAAGGTTGAACGACAAAAATACGCCAAGTTAAAAGAAGTCAACGAAACAGCAATATGTCCGCCGATTTCGGGCGGTCCTCTAATCCCAAAAGCCGTCCTCGAGAAAAGGCATAGCAAAAAGGAAATTGATGAATTTTCACGTAGACACAATACCAGTGACAAGGTTAACACTTATAAAGATTTATGCGAGGAAAAGAAACAGGCAGAAACATTAAATCCGGTAATGACGAACGGCGAAGCTGCCAGGACTTATTTAAAACGTTTGAAATCGCGGGAAAAGCAGACAGCAGTAACGCACGATTTGAAGTCGCGCATGCGCGACAGACTAGTCACTGAAATGTGGGATAACGTAGCACGAGAACAGGAGAATAAACTTGACCGGGAGATTGCCAGAATGGTACTGACAGAGTGCAGGTACGAGAAACAGATGATCACAAAATTGTGTGAGATTCGCGAGCAGCGTGGAAGAATTGCGAGGAACCGACAGATCGTAGAAGATCTGGTGCAAAAGACGAAAGAGTCGCGAGACCGTTTGGAACAGAATAGTGTTCGCGAGGTTATAGTGCGTGAGGCTGAGGAGTTTGATGCAGAATGTAACAGAATGTGCGAACTTCATCAGCGTCTCCGCGATGAGAAGATTCGTGCAATTCGCGAAAAGCATTTTCGACTTTGCAACAAGGCTGTCGATGATATTGTTGACATGTCAGTCAAGATGGCGGAGTATCGCTTGTGCACGAAACGTTCTGTGCCCACAACCTTGTGGAACGAATGGCAAACGCTCTTCGTCGAGGGTCAGCCGATTTTGGACCTCTTGGACCGTCCCGAGCTTATCGTTAACACTGATAGTGGCCAAGGAGCAAACGAAGTTTTTCAGGCTGAAATCGTGAGGCAAGAAGTTTTGAATACAGCTGATATTCTTAATTATGTTAAAGGCAGTGCACCGCCCTGGGATCAAGTTGTGTCAGTGGACGACGTATACAATGAGAAATCATTGAAACTTGGTGAGACAGTGTTGGGTTATATTGTTCACAAATTATTGAGATATCTTTATCCCAAGCCGAGTGATCCTCAACCTCTGTCCATGCCAAATATTTCTGTGGCTGCCATTGTTCTAGGCGTTTTAGACAGTACGTTGTATCCAGCTCTACAGGAATTATTGAAGAACCATAAGATTCGATTGGTACGAGTGGAGGATGCTATTAATTACTGTCTAAGATGTTACAAAGAAAGTTTGAGTATAAATTCGGTGAGTCAACAAAATTTGGATAATATTGGCAGTCACGTAACCGCACGTAGTAGCAGAACTGACGTCGAGGTAAAAACAGCTGAGAATTACGTCACGTCCAATATGGCTGACAAGCGTACTCAAACGCCAAGGATTATACCGTACGATGACTTCGAGCCAGATGTTCGTAAAGCTGCATATTATGGAAAATGGGCGAATGATTATTTGACACTTGGCGAACCAATCACGAACGAACTGAGTACAAAGATGCTCGTGGAATATTTGAAGAGTTTGACAGAAGCTAAGGGATGGGCATTGATCAATTTTCCAATGACTTACGATCAAATGGCGTTATTGGAATTTTTATTGACGGGCCGTAAAGTTCCACAAATCATAGAGGAAGCTAATGACGTGAATGGCAATATCGAGGAGGTTGATCCAGTGCCATCTAGAATAACTTTCGAAGATGAAAGCGAGGATGAATTCGCTTTGAAACGGAATTCAAAACTCTTGCCAAATCCATTGCCGAGACAGGTTGATATTCATCTAAAAACATTTATGACAACTTATATTAAGGCAGAGTCTAACTTGAAACATGGAAATGTCGAGGACAACGAAATTTTTGAAATTTTACCTGAAGATTCCACGCCAGTGGATACTTTCTATACGAATGAAGGCATAGCTTACATACTGTATTACAGTGCATTGAATTTATCTACTCTGAAAAAATTGGCCAGGCTCATATTAGGTAACAAATCTGTATCTGAAAAATCTTCCGTGGAATTATTTGGTGACGCTCTAGATATTCTGGTGGATAGGAAGGAAGATCAGGGCGGTAGAAGCTACTTTGCCAAGCAGATTCTTCCCAGATTTAGTGACAGTGTGGATGGTGGCGAGAGTGGTGACATCTATGATGAGGCGCTTGCATCAATTCAAGACTTTGACAAGTCTCCAGCAGAACCTGGGGAAGATCATTGGGAATGGATTGACTTTCCCCAGCCACCAGAACTACTAGAAGCAATGGCTACCCTCTGGGAAAATATGGAGAATGTCTATATACAAGATCTTAAGGATGTTTTCTTTATTAAGAGAATCCATTACGCCGCTATCGCTCCGTACCAGAGTGAGGTAACTAAACATATGACGGATTACATAAAAAGACCGGACAACAAGCAGAATATACTTCACGAGTTTCACAAGGCTTACAATGCCGTAGAGATGGACGTAAGGGATGATCCTGACGTTATGGGTGAGTTGCACTGTAGGGTGATTGATTGTCAATCGGACCTTTGGCAAATTTGTGATGATCGTCGAAACGAGGCTGAGAATGAACGGAAGAAGTTAATTACGGATAATTGGACTGCCTCGGAAATTGTGATTCTTTCTAATGTTTATATTTCTATTATACAGGCTGAGATTAATCGTTTTTTAGATACTATGGAACTCTTGCACGACTATTACATGTCCATGTTGCAAAGGCCAATCAATGAGTATCGTTTGCCAAAAGTGGTCTTGCACAGATATACGTCTACGTCTGAGATGGATTCAGGAAAAAAAAAGGAATCAAAAGAGACAAGAGAGACAAAAACGAAAACTAGTATTGGTAAGGATTCTGCGCCATCAGCAATTAGTGTCAATCAAGTGAAAAACGAAATTGCAAATATACTAATTGACTGTGAGAAAAATAATTTGGATCTGGACCGTGTCTCTTGTTATGAGATTATACGTGCAAATTTTCGTTATGTACAAAGAACCGTGGAATCCGTATCGTCCGCCATGTTGGATTCATTGAAAAAAGAAGAAATGGCAGCAAATGCGTTGTCAGCGACAACAACAAGGCGGGACTCTAGGTCTAGAGGCCATTCGAAAAGAACCTCCACGTCTTTAGCACATTCTGATCCTATAATGGTCAACGTAACTAAAAGAAGTCCAGATCTCTTTAAAGAGTGGCGCTCAGCCATGATGTACGAGGTGAATCGTGTTAAAACAAAATTGAAAATTTTGGAAATGGTTTCACGAGATGATATTGGAAATCTTTTGAAGACGATGCAAAGCGTCTTCGGGGATATTTACAAAATGCTTGTGGACAGATACAAAAACGAAGTACAAAGTGTCGATCAAATGGCGACAGTATTTTGTTACGCAATCGAACAAAGTATACCGCTTCAGAACGAGATGTTATTGGATGGTGATAAATTTATAGTTAGATTGAACGTACTACTGTTCCCGGACAAAGAAGAATTGTCAGCAATGACAACACCCGAAAGAATTTCACGTTTACAATTCGGAATAATTCAATTGGGACGTCTTCTGTGCATACTCCGGTACACGGCGCCAAATGGTAGTTTAATGGAACGCCATTTTGTCTATCTCATTCAGGACATGATAGCTTGTCAGGAAGACTGCACTTCCAGTCCGTTACCCTTGTCCTGGTTCGAAATGGAACCGAATGACGTGGAAAATTTAATTTTTGAAATTTTTGGAAATACCGAGTATATCGATTGGAGAGAATTTATCATTTATGCAATGGACATTCCTATACCGACGCACGAAGAAATTTTATACGCAAGAGATAGCTTCCGGAAAATGGATTCGGAACTTCGTGAAGTGGTAACCCGAGATCAATTCTATTCCGTTCCACTGTGGTTTTTGGAATCTACCAATATACCGAGAGACTCCAGATTTTTATTACACGACGAAATGGAACAAGACGAAGAAGAGATGTACGAGGAAGAATTATTTTTTAACACTTCCAGTGCCATGAGTACGTTCAATAAACAGGAGACTGCCAGAAAATCAGTAATTGATTGGAGCACGAGATCAAAGGGACATCTAACTGTTAAGGACCGTCTAGAATCGAACCGTTTATTTTGCGACGACCCTGACGATCCTAAACCGGAAACTATTAATAGATATATACTAGCCAAGAAATTGCTATGTCAAATGTATCTGACCAATGCCTACACCACGAATTATACAGCATTTTTATTAGCATTTTGTAAATCCGATGACCCCAGAGATGGTTTTGGCAAAGCACTGACCTTGGCAATGGGTGGCAGAGTCTGCATCGACGAGGTCGAAGGTGAATCGTACGTGTCGCATCTCCTGGAGCAAAGAAGGCTCCAGGCGCTGGAGGATGCACGTCGGAATCGTCTACGAGAAGAAGCTGTCAAGGTGACTACTAATTTCTTATTTTTTCCTTCCATTTAAAAATTTTTTTTAATTTTCCAATGGAATTTTAGGTTACGGAGGATATAGTGATGGCTACGTTGGATGAAGTTGTGCGATTCTGTGAAATGAAGGGTCTAAAAGATCAAATTCAAGAGGACGAGTATCTTGAATTCTTTAGGGGTCCATTGATAATAGAGAGCTTGGATGAACCCGGAACAACTGATACATCACCAGCAGTGGATATTCTGAAGCAATTAGAATTGTCCAGTGATAACAGCAGTACGGAAAAGGATATTGATTCCTTCAGAATGACTGACAGCCTTTTGTTTACATCCTCTACATTGACAGCTAATTTAATAAGTACTGATAAACTTGATGGACGCCATGTTCTTCATTGGGTACCACGCGAGACATGTCAGGTAGTATTTTGTCATTTTATTTATTAAAAAGAAAAAGCAAATAAGTTTGACTATTTACAAAACAGGCAGTTCTACTTGCTAGTCTACCGTGGCATGCGAGACAGCCAAACTTGTACGAAGTAACCGGAAGCCTTCAGGAAAGCTTGAAGCAGGTTTATTTAAATCTCTACGACAAGGAGCTGAACGAAGAAAAGGACGTGGCGCTAGCGCATCGTTTAGTAAATCATCCTTTTATAGCCAAAATGTTATCAAGTACTTCCAAGTTCACAACGAAGAATATGGCGAGAGTTTTAGATAAATTGTTGCAGGAGAGAGACGAAAGAAAAAATGCAAGTAAAATAACGTTAACTCGATAAATCCGTTACTGCGGGCCAAACTTTCTTTCTCAAAGTTCTTCATCCCTATAATCCACTAAACTTTCATTGTGAATATCGTTTTTTTTTTGTTTCCACGAACACGTATCGCCCTTGTAACACATGTTCCCAAACATTATTCCATTAGTTAACATTAATTTAATTGATTATGAATCTTTGCTAAACAGGGGAATTATTTACATATCGTATTAATATCGAAGAAAAACAAATTTTATATTATTATCTTGTATATATATGCAAAGAGTATTTTTCTATTAATACTAATATTTACAACTTTTCTCGTTGTACGTTTTTTAAAAAAAAAAGCTAATGGGATATAATTAAATAAATCAAAAGCTCTCGTTAAAGGTAGTTTTCAATAATTAATGGTACTTTGCAATATGACTAATATTTTCAATATAATTTATTGTTCCATTACACTGTAAACGTAGTTTCCATGAGTTCTGCATCGCGTCATATTAATGTATTCTATTTGAAGCGAAACGTAAGCCGTATTAAACATCCTGACACGCATGACGTAACAAATAAAAAAATACCTTCAACATTACAGAGTACATGAAATATACTTCGTTCGATTTCAAAAGTCACGATGAAAAGTGCGTACCTTGTTTTCTTTTTCTTTAGGAAATTCATACACACCCGCTCGCCCAGTCGGCACATAAGGAGTGTCCAGTTTTTTAAAAATGCACTACATTATCCTTTGTCACTGACATCTCCTTAATTTTGTTTTATCTCCGCTAAACAATCCTCTACAAATTTTCGGAAAAATTCAAGAAGCCGTGTATAACAAAGAAAAAAAAGTTTTAAAAACTTTTAACACTAATTCACGGCACTTACATACAAACTCAACACAGCATTATCGCATAAGGATTGATTGACTAATGGATAAACGGAATACCAAAAATAGGAGAAAAATGTATTTCGTCAAACATTGACCGATCCCCGTAATAGCCAAACAAAAGGTCTCGATAACTATTATAATCGATTTTTTTCATAATTATTACACGTCTGCATGCAATGTACCATAATCGCGTACACGTAATAAATGGATGTTCAACATTTTTTATTTTACGCCCGAATTTTTAAGATTCGCAATTTACAGTATAGTGATCTTATTCGTTCCTTCTTTCTTAGACAAATTAATAAGTATCGCACGTTGAATCTTCAATTTATGCTTTAGAACTTATAATAATATAATCGTCTATACATATGCGCATTTCTCGAGCTAGCGATTAGGTATTATATAAATACTTAAATATTATATCCTTTTATCGCAATAATCCATAATATCACTATTCTGTCTTTGCTGGTTGATAAATTTAATCGTATCCACAGCGTGAGAACGCCATTACCTCGTTAAGGCTTAACGATCACATGTACAATAAAGACAATTAAGGTAAAACGATATATTGTATAATTATATTAATTCGAGTATACAATAACATTATGTCAGAATGACATACTTAATGTAAATATAGGAAACGGAATTAAATTAGTTATGGAAGATTCTCTGGATCATATATGTATCACGTATTCACTTCTTTATCACTTGTCAATTTTTTCTTTTTTTCTTTTCATCTCTTTCTCTACTCCTTTTCTTAGTTCTCCAAGTAACGCGCTACCTACTGACTGCGATATCAAAACACTCTCCTGAGTTTAACGCGAGGCTTTTGCTACTTCGGTTCTCACGCTGCAGAGATTACATAATATTATTAAGTTCCCGTAAGACGCTGTTTCGCCTAGCTTGACTAATATATATTTAACCTTGATTATATATTACAATTGGTAATTACATCGTACAGTGATCTCATTAGGCTAAATGAAAACAATCGTTGAAAATCGTACATACACATAGCCGTTATACATATGTAGACTGGTGTGGTGGAGTATCTTTTTCATATTTTCCTTTTATAATTTCAATAAATCACAAGTAATCGCATCGATCTTCAATTTTTGGGCATTTTAATTAAGTGCGATTGATTTATGATTGTAAAGGAAAAATAACAGAGGATTTTGCTTTTTAAGTATTAGAATTTTTCTTAACTAATTATTTGTTTCATCGAATCTTGCGCTTGAGAATTATTTTGATTTAAAATACAAAAATAATTTTTAACTCTTAAAGCGATATACCTTTTTTTTTTAAGAGGAAATTAAAATAAGATACAAGATTTATCTGGGAGATTCGTTAAGTTTCGTTCAACGTTTTGTCACCTCTAGGTCAATGTCTCTTTCTTTCACTTTCCTTTTCTGACTTGCCAATTTACGTGCAAAATGAAAGTGCAGCGCTCGCAGCCCGTTCTCGATCGTTTATCTCGCACTTAACACTTCATTATGAGTTATATTTGCACAATATCGCGTCGTTGCGTATTTATCGGTGCATAGAGTACATACGCGTGACTTAACGATTTCCTATAAATGCGTCGAGGTATGAAGTAATGCGGTTTCATTTTACTTTATAATTTGGAATTAAATCAATTTCCACAATATCATTGGAATAGACGTACGCATAGCTTAATCGTGACGGAAGTGAGATTACGCGTTCGTTGAAAATTTGATGAGTTTTTCGGTATTCCATTTTTTTTTTATTCAGACAAAATTAGTGATTTCAATTCTATTTTTGATTTAGCACGTAGCACCGCTATTGCCGTATGGATTTTTACCAGACGCAGATAGAAATAAAACTGAAGCGCCTTTATCGGAAAACGGTTGGCATTTAAAAAAAAAAAACAATTCTGACCAATATGGTGAAAATTGAAAATGGATACAAAAAAAAATGATTAGTTAATTTCATAATTGCAAAATGAAATCCTGTCAATTCCCAAGAGCATGCAGCGAATTGCGAAATATCAAAAGATTACCAATTTATCTCTTTTTCATTCGAAAGGTTTTCAAAAAAACAAATTTCTATCCCAGTGTCACACGAAATTATAGATTAATAATAATCACGATAACGTGTCCTATGATAACCCAACCTATGAAGAATATACAATTGTTGCGTTATAATTAAATAATATTATTATTGAAGTATCGTGTAGTACCAGAATTCGCCGTGTGACGCCACTTTGCAAAATTCCCACTTCATTGTCACCGCTTATTTTCCAAAAAGAACTGTACAGCGGAATAAGTAAATATAATGGGGGTGCGCGATAAGGGTGCGTAAGCCGTAAAAACGGAAGCATTATTTACTAGAATGAAATAACGCTGTGGGTGATAATGAAATTAATTAACAAAATCAAACAAAATTTTCACAGCTAATATATCCAGGGTAACATGGAAGTAACGTGATAAACGCGAAGACATTAAACGTACCCGTCGTAAAACTTTTGGCACGCTTCATCATTCGACACTTTACAGCTAACGCTGTTACTTAGTGACTAATAAAAAAAATATTCGACATAAAAAATATATTGTTTAACATCGTTTCTGCATCGAATAAAAAATTCGCGAGATCAGTAGGCGAACTCTACCGAAGCGTCAAAAAATTAATAATGTGAGTAAAAGTAGAACTTCATCGTACCATAGTGTTCTCTCTGTCTCTCTCTCTTTCTCTCAACTGACAATACTGTCAATTAATATCACGATTAAAGGAATTTACATTGTTAAGCTCCCTACGCAACGCAACTGCCTAAGAATATTTTCTTTGGACGTAAGAATTCCGTATAAGGTAAATGGCCCAGTTACTGACCCTGTTCCAGATTATGACCCCGACGGCGTAATTTTGACTGTCAGAAATACAGTTTTTGTCGAATAATAATTCAATTACCGGCTAATTAAAAAGCGTTTTTCACTTTTAATTATTGGAGAAACACACTTTTTTAAATGAAATATTTTGGAATAGAAATTGACCAGTGAATAGTGCGACACGCGTCTCAGTGGCTCCGCAGCGGCAGTGCTAGACGGTGGCAGTAGTTGCAACCACGGTCTAACATACAGGTCTTGCACCTCGCCCAATTTTCAGCGGTGGGGATAGATGTATTGTAGAACACGTTTATCACATTTTAACTTTTAGTGACAAGCGTCGCTGTGATCGAGCGACCCCCTTATCTATCTCACTCTACAATCGGCTGTGGGAGAGAGAAATAGGAACGGATCGCTTGATCACAACGCCTCTTGTGGTCATGAGACGAAATGAAAGAAGCTTCTCTAAGAAGACTACCCCCTCCAGGCAAGACCTGTATCTAAGACCGTGGTTGCAACAAGCTACTTCATTGTGAATTTTCTTCGTCATGTAAGTATAAAACGACATAAAAATGGTGTCAGCATCTTCAGCAGGAACCAGAATATTGATGAGATAAGAAATTATTTAACTTTGGTTAGATATTTGTTCAAATTCGCAGGGTGCGTAATTCAATAAGTGCGTCACATAATTGAGGTTATGCTCCTGTTGTTGACCCTCGATTTATCACCTGTTGCGTCAAATAATTTGCTTTGTTTATTTATTCTAATTTTCCGTGTAATGAGTAAAAAAGAAAGAGATAAAAACAAAAGTAATCTTGATAATTTTTTGCTTTTTTAAAATATTTTTTACACATGTAAAGAAAATAAAGTAGTCGTGCATTAACTAAACATTTTTCGTTGTTTTTACCTAATGTGTGTCCATGAAATTACATAAATTGCAATTAAACCCGTTTTGTATGGGGATATTCGGGAGTGTCAGAAAGTAGATACGCGCAGGCATCATAAATTACGCCAAGGGTGTCATAAATCGGGTACACCCAGGGATCATAAACTAGGATATGGGTGTTTCTCGAGTGTCAGAAACCCCGGAAGCGGAGAAGCACTATTAAGACAATGATTTTATTAATAAACCTTAATTGTTTCACTTGTATAACAGGTGAATCTCATTCGGAGGGCTTTAACGCACGTGTTGAAACTTTTAGTTTTCAGTTTGGCCATATCACACGTGAATAAATAGCAAAAATCGGACACGGCCGCTCCTAAAGTGTCGCTAACTGGGCTGTTTACCTTAATTAAGCTTTGAATTCTCGAATTCTCGAGTCCACGGCTTACGGGGATCCCTTTCTCTCTTTTTCGTAGCCGTTACATGAAAACGAAAAAGCTATTCAGTTATCTTGGCTAAAAGACCTTTCGATGCATTGAGTTTTGTATAAATGCGAGACTCAGTTTCAGTGAATTCGGATACAGTTAAAAAAAAAAAATAAAAAATATCGTCTCGCTCGATTCTCGTAGATTCTTCATTGTTTATGCGCAAGAATGGAGAATGGAGTCTTGTAATTTCAGTCGTACATACACAGAGTGAGACACTGGGTGGGTGAGGGGTTGACGAAAGGGTTTTTAGCCAATCCAAGGTAGCCATCAGCTGGGTTGTGGTGGCGATATTCTCACCAGAAGCCAGGTGTATAATTTTGGCTTTTCCTTCTTCACTAGCTCGTACCGAAGATTAGTCAGGCCGTCGGAAGCAAATCTTTTCCTTCCGGTTTTAAGATACTCGTACCTGAAGCAGTGTAAAAATGTATTTTAAATATATTTTTGTTATCCAGCAAAAAGGTTAGGTTGGGTTAGGCTCAATAGTATTACTTCAAATACAAATAAGGTTAACTAATATATCATTCTAACCTCTTTGGATTGGCCTTCTCCTTTTTGTGTGTAAGCATTTTGTAGCGAGCAATGTTCGCGGGATAGCGTGATATATGGAGACCGTGGGCCTTGACGCGATTTGCCATGTCGTCGTCTTCTGCACCCCAACCCCAAAAGGCGTTGCTGAATCCATTCACCAGGCGAAAATGTTCCCGCGACATTGCTGACACTCCGCCAAATATATCCGCGTATGGCAGCCTTAAGATTCAAAAATTACAATAATTAATTAAAGTTACAACTGCACGCTCTATCGTTACACCATGAGTTTCTTTTTTGAATTTCATTCTCGAACTTACTCACCGATACTTAAACTTGTCCACGGCTACTGACATGTGCCGTGGCTGTTCTGGACAAGTGTACAAATTTCTGTCGTCCTCGGGTAAAAGATCAACGTCATGGAAAATGAAGCAATCGAACAATCGCTCCTTCAGTGCTTCGGTATATCCGACATTCATGAGCATCGCCCTATTGAACTGTCCGTTGCCTGCGAAGCAGAAGAAAAATTGTTTGATAAAGGATGAAGAAAAACTATAAAAAGATATAATAATAACATCTGAACGCAACAAAGAAAACTTTCATTCAAGAGCAGAGAATGAAAACGTGTTAAAGTTTGTATACGACTAAATTCGAGACAAAGCAGAGTGGAAGCGAAGTATGCCGAGCAATTGCTGGAGAGATAAAATTAAGTTTGAGACCTTAAGGCCACCTTGCACTGCAAAAACGGTCGTCGTAATATTTTCCCTCTCAAATCGTTACGTGAACACAAACACAAATATTTGTCCCGTACATCTCGAGTAATTTGTTCAGAAACGATTTAATCTATTAGAAAAATATTTAACAAGCAGCCAATACGGCGGTCTCCGACGCTACGTAACAGCGAGCAGTGTGAATCGGCCTTTATCTCTATGACACAGCAAGATTCGAGGGTCCAAAGAAACTAGGCCAGAACTTACTACCAAGCACGTATACGAACACGGAAACAGTAGCAACATGTACACAGGCACCAGCAATAAAAACGGTACAAGAAATTTCGGGTAAGCTCTTGGTGAGGATGTTAAGAGTCAACTTGAGTTGTCAGCTGCACATCAGACTGCAGCGCCGCCTCCCTTCGATTCGTGAAATTAATCGAGTCAGCATTTTCGACACGAGGGTAACGTATCGGCAGCGACGAGGTTTTCAGGTTAAACAGTGAGTATACATAAAGCCTTATACATATAAAGCTACAGGGTGAACATAAAGTCGAGTTTTATTTTATTAAAGAAAATTCCGGCAATCGATCGTCACTTTATGGTTTATATCGTAGAGACTGGCATAGATTTATTTCACAAGAAGCTCTCGGGGGGCCGATTGCTGCTGCGTTTTCAATCGTTGAAAAATGTTCTCTTTATTTCACATTTTAAAGTTGATACTCTACCGATATACGATATTGGTCTATTCGCGTAAGCATTTATGGTATGCGCAGCCACGTATCGGTTTGCCGGAACGATTTCAGAGTTAAAGTTTCGCCAACTGCTTTCGATTGGATCTATTTCTTTTTTCCTTTTTTCCCCTCTTTTCTTTCTCAGCAGTTGGCTCCCCTGGCGAAACGTTCTCCGGTAACGCCTTCGCGATATATAACTTTGTCAATTTGGTTTCGATGGTTCTTCAAACTTACTGTTCTTGTTTTTTTTTTCGTCTTTTTCTTCCATTTATATGTTTCCCCTTTTTGCTCACTTTTTTCTTTACATCCCATGACGAATTCGCTCCATCTTCGTGTGTACGATGTTGGAAAAGTCAATTTACGGAAAAATTCACAAGAAAATGCTACACGTGGCACAGGATTTCGCCACTAGGAAAACAAAGACGATCCAAAGTTCTCGAAAGAGAGATAGTCTATTTACCAAATTGCCACGTGTATGTACATACAACAGAAACGTGATAGACACTCGCGCAAGAAAAACATAACGAAATTTTTATACCAAATATTCAAAATCGAATATAGACACAATTTTGCGTACGAAAGAAATTCAATTTACCCTAGTCTGATTGTCTTATTCCGAATATACCCAGTGTCCAAACAAAATATCAAAAAGTTCTTCATCTCAGCAACTTCTGCGACAGACGATTTTTTAAAGCTTAACTTCGTAGTATGTACAACGAACAAACTTTTTCATCAAAACTTTACTCAGTATAGTAAAAATAATATCCCCAAACATCCACGTCAATGACCACGATGGCAAAACACAATAAAAAATAAAATTTTTCGAGTTTACGAAATTTGTCGGAAATTACGAACAAAGTTATTATATTATTATAATCAAATACGCCAACCGCAAGAAACTTTTTCTCCATTAAGGTGTCGAAGCCTACCAAAATGTATAAACCCAACGTCAAACCTAACCTAACCTTAGATACACAACAAACCAAGCCTTTACGCAACACAAAGAACAGGATATAAAAGCGTTTGTGGTTAAACAAGAATTTAGCTCATTAATCATATCCCGCTATGTGTAACCTATACCAGATGGCTTCTCATTTTAATAGTAGGGGGTAACGAGGGGGACAGGAGTGTTGACGGAGGGGAAGAACGAAGAAGCATTAAGCCGCGCAAGCCAGACTAGTCAACATAATTTCCGTAAGATAACTTCTTCCCTCTTGTAAAACTAAGTCCCGTACGACTAGGATTTTGCGTTTAAATATTTATCTATCCGCAAACCACAGTGAAACGGTAAGCAGACTTATGTCGGCCATACGTAAAAACGCCGGAAAAAAAAATATGGCGGCGAGAAGGAATGCCGGTATTAATAGTTTACATGCGCAATCGCAGGAGCAGTGCTGAATAGTTCAGAGAAAAATTTTTCAACATTGATTTTCTTCTTGTTCAATCGTCCAGAAGAGATTTTTGAAATTGGAGTAAGGATGGGTGGAGCGACCAAGTAGCTATTCAACTTTAAATAATCGAGATGGTACATGGTTATTCCAGTGCGCTCGTTTCGTTAATGGAAACGCTTCATGGAAACATGGCAGAGACTCAACACTTGCTATTAGCTCGGAACGGTGGTAATAATGAAATCTAGAAGCGGAGACTACCGGTGCACCATTTGGAATATCTGTGTCTTGGGCTCTCATTAACATTAAGAGATGATTGCTCCTCTCTCTGTCTCTCTCTCACTCATGAGTGACCATGATATAATAATAATATTATAATGCTCGGAGTTAAAGTGGATGTTGAAATTTTATTGCAACTAAGGGCTATTTTGTACTTTATTTTTAATCAGAGGCACTAGAGAGGCTTTAGAATTTTTTTAAATTGCCTCCTTCGACTTGATTCAGGTCATAGTTTTGTAGAAGCTATTACTGTGTTTGCGGCTGGTTGTTAGGGATAAGAATCCCAGGGTCATCTCCACGCTTGGGACTTTAGGAAATTCTCTGAATTCGATGAATAATAAAGAGATGGGAGTGTGAGAAAGATTTTTTTATGTTTGCTTGGAGCACTAACCTAACCTGACCTCTGATCGTATCTCGGTAAGAAGAGGCATTGTGCGATTTCAAGTGACTCAGTGCGGGTTGCGGTTATCTTCACGTGGCGACCGTGAAACGAACGTTAATACAAAATCACGTTACCGTCAGTTAAGAAGCTAATAAGCCTGAGAAATATGCGATCGAAAATCCGTCTTCTCGAACGACTTTATTTGAGGTTTCGTCCAATTTGTACTTCCTGCCAAACAAAATGGCGGTGAACGAGTAATAGTATTTTTTTATTTCAAAACTTAGAAACGAGCGCTAACCAGGTAAAATCGTAAGACGTAATTGTTACGTCTTACGCGTGGCTGTCGGAGGAAAAAAATGTGTCAAAAGCGGCGCGAAATTCAAACGATCTACACTTCAGGGACAGTCGATAAGAGACACGATAGCAGCAACAGTAAGAAATAACAAGGATAAAAACTTCGCGTGTCGCTCGCTGGCGATGGAAGTGACGTAACGACGAATTAGAAGAAAGAAAAAAATTAAATTTTCACTGTCTATACAAAAATATGAAAGTATCCGAGAGGGCTTGAGGTTTAAAAAAAATCGCACAGGCATCCTTATGAAAATTGTCCTGATGGGTTGGTCGCGAATTAAAGGAAAAATAAAGGCGCGACCGCTGACAAAAGGTGTGATGTTAACATTAGGCTAAAAATGTTCAATGACTACGAAACATGAACCATTGACATTATCGGATATCACGATCGAAATTGCTAGTCACGCGAATGTTGCTTACATACGTATCATGCCATTAAATTATTTCTTTTGTATCTCGTCGGGGGTTAAAAACCATTAGCTATACACTCGCCTAACTCGACTCAATTAATTTATTACTGTTAAGAGCGTCACGCCTTCCCACCCCTTCGCCATCGCCTTCCCTTCCTACAATTATGAAGCTATCAACATGGAAAATTAAAAAAACAGCACAGAGTCCGATTAAATTATTTTCATGCACGTGTCATGCAAACTACCATTATAAAGTCAAATTTGCAATTTCTCCCCCGCCATCGCACCCTCGAGCAATTATGAAAGACTATGTACCCAGGAAAGGGGGCACAGGCGCAAGTATTGAGAATTTACATAGATGCCACATTAAATAAACTTACGACTGACAAAATAACATTTAGCGCGAGCGCTGGGCTTGTCAATGAATAAACGTATGGATTGGGTGTAGCTTATCGCAGCGCCGCCAACGGATGTTACAGGCAACAGCGGCTGTTCGACGAAAATACAAAATTTCGAATAATCGGATTTCGAATAATTTTGCGAAAATCGCTTTGCCTCCGGCACGCAGTGATGGCCGCAAAATTAATTGCAATCGGCTACCGGACAATACAATTGTGTTATCAGTGATTTTTGCAAACTAACCTCTAAAACGACATACAAATAGACGCGAGTCTGGGTATGTATTACCTCGAGTGATTCTAATTTATTTAACGAGTGTTAAAGTCACGCGATTAAACCTACTAAGATGACGCGGAAGAGAGATAGTTTTTATCTTGTCGGATAATAAATACGGATATTAAAGAGAGACTGTTGATAAACGTACCCAAGAGTACCCATCAGAGGGTTCGAGGGTAGGGGGTCGAGAAGGAGGGGGATGAAGTCTGACAAATCTCGCCTATTATTCCTTACTTTTTTTTATGGTGCAATGGACCTTCTTGGTTTTGCTTGAATTATCGCGGGAACCAAAATGGACGATGATACAGGGGTTTGCTATCCCAGTCAGGATAATCTGCTTGATAAATATTCGCGACAATTATTACTTTGCTCGGGGTTTAAGCTTGGTCTTGAGAAAATGAGAGAAAAAATGGCGACTCGTGTAACAGTTAACCCCTCTCCTGCTCCTACTCCACGTCAATGGGTATTACAGAAATTAACGTAAAATGTAGTTCAATAATAGAATTTTCATTAGCTTCGTTCGCCTCAATTGACGTTGACATTTCGGGTAGAAAAATAGCCGGGCGTTATCGTGACAGGTATAAATGGATCGAATAGAATTAAAAGTTATTTTTATCAGACACCGAAACGTCGTATTTTCGCTTTTCTCATATTGATCGATGTATAAGCACTGGATTTGTGTTACTTTTAGTGTCCTTACGATGATGGAGTATATTAAGTTATTTCGTAAATAGAATGAAATTTGCCCAATCGCACGAGCGACCGTATCTGATAAATGTATCTGTGCTATCTTATCGTATACAACAATGAAATCTTCGGCATTCTAAATTTAACGTAATAGCGACGCGTCGTTTGTACATATTTCTTCTTCGGAATATTCAGGACGAACAGAAATTATGTAGAAATTCGAGATGCCCGGGATCCGCTTTAATATTTTCGCTCGTGGCTATTTGAATTTCAAAACGCTTCTCCATGGCTGAAATCGCGCTCGAGCCATTTGATGCAATTAAAACAATGTTGAGTTTTCGTTCTGCCTCTAGTTATTATACGTACTCAACTACGTACACGCATTTGTCAAGATGCTTTTACGAGCTCATGAAAATCTAAGGGATGTGTAATGTCTGTTCATTAGACATGTATTATATATATGTACGTATTTTATATATATATATATATCATCCACGATATAGACGAATGCCGCATTGCAGTACAAGGGGTAGTTTCCATTTGACGATTAAATTACGCTAAGCTCGTGTTACATAAGGCACAAGAAAATTGGCGACATCGCCCTTTGGTAAATCTCTAATACAGATCAATGACGACAGGCAAAGCTCAGCAGCCCCGAAGACACATCGGGGGAGTGAATAAAAAGCATCCAAGCGCAAAAAAAATGCTGTGAAGGATCGAGCGATGAGTTTTCGTTGATTTACGGGAAACCAGATGAGACTTTTTTCTTGAAAAAAAATTTAAGGTAAGCTTAAAAGTAATAAACATAAGATATCGGGACTTACCTTCTTGCTCCACGACGAATATCTGATAATTGATCTGTTGCCTTAACAAAATTGGGTGCAGATTGTACAGGAGAGTTTGAAGATGCTGCGACCGGTCGCGATAGGGGATGATTATGGCAACCTTGTGTCTGGCTATGCACTCGCTTGGCCAGCCTTTTCCGCCGTGCTTCACGTCTGCGAGCGTCTTCTCGATAACCGGAAGTTCCGGGGGCGACGTGTTTACCGTGACTGGACCGACTGTGGATGCAAAATTATAGGGTTTGTGAATTATTTTTCAATTTTTCAGGGCCGAATATAAAGTCCATAATATATATATATATATATATTATATATAGGATATATATAGTAATACTCACTGAGATTTGGGGGGATGAGCGGACATCTCTCAAGTAATATACTGTCCGTATTGTTATGTGTTAGCACATCTTGGAAGACCGCCGAACCACCACTACCACTGCCACTGCCCGTACCAGTGCTGCCACCGGATGTGCCGGTTGGAGCAGCCTCGGATCTGGACACGTTGTTATTGACAGCACGTGACACAGAGTCCAAAAGGAAGGTCATGGATGAGACGTTGCCGTTAGTGCTTCTGGAATAGGTGGACGCCGTAGCTGGACCATAGATGATCAGACCTCGTGGATGATTTCTGTAAGAGTGGTCGGCGTAGCTGAAAAAAATGTTTGTTATTAAACTTATAAAAATATAGATAAATTATTAATTAAAAATACTACGTGATTTTCATAAGGATATATATATATCAATCTATTTAATTGCTTAGGCGAGATTATTTTTATTATTGAAGATTCTCCACGAAACCAGCCTCACTCTCCCCATCTTTCTGTACCCAGCATCCCTCTCTCGACTGTCATGGAGAAGTCTCGAGATTATAATGCAAATTTACGTCCGCCTCGTAGCCTCGTGAGTTTTTCGCTCGGGCGTAGCGGTATTTGCAAGTTCCGGAAAAATATATGCAATCTTGAAATGCACCGGAGTTGCACCGTTACGCTCGTGAAAGTTTCTTGCGCGCGAGAGACATTAAATGGACGTGAGAAAGACGGGGACGATGTCTTCGTGAAATTGGGGGGGAAAAAAAAAGGAAATTTTAATACAACACGCGAATAATTATGCAAATTTTTAATATAATCTCAAAATCGTTGTAAGCAAATATATATAAACCGAACGTATCGCTTGCATTCTTATTACGTCCGATATTCATTAGATCGAGCCAGGTGTGAATTAATAAAAAGCTTTTTGCGCAACAAGGATAAAGCGTGTTCGATAAAGCGAGTGCAGAGCCGCAACGGGACGTTCTGGAATTTAATAAAATAACAAAGCGCGTGTATAAACGTTATTATACGTTAACGCAAATCTCTATTTATGATGGGTGTCGCCATAACCCAGCCGGTTATGATCTTTACGGTATATGTGCTATACAAATATATAGATATACAGGTTTATGGGATATTTTAGCATCGCCTATAATTTTCCTTACCGAACGGGGGCGTTTACGGGCGCAGCGAGAGGAAGAGATTGAGAAAAGGGTGAATATCGAGGCGCCTTTTTATTTTGATTTTTCACTGGCCCCAAGAGAGAAGTTGACAACATTTTTTAGAGGCTGCACAAATTTTTCTCATATTTACGGAATATTACTAATCATGTAATTTGGAACCCGAAAGGAGCCCAGAACGCCTTCTTGTGAACGAGCGGACATAAGGGGCGTCATCTGTACCCGTTTTGTACATGTTCGGAATAAGTTGACGAAAATATTTTTTTTGTACAGTTCTAAGGGCAGAACTATTCGCGTCTACTACGTAAGAATCTGAATCTCGTGGAAATCTCTGGAATCCGATGATATTTGGAAAAAAAATGATTTACGGGAAGTTAATAGATTTTTGTTCAATCTTCATTTTTTCTTTTTTTTTTTTTTTTTGGAAAATCACGAAAACTTACTCAAATTTATCGCGAACTATAGAACTCAGTCGCATTTTATTAGTTATCTGCTGGAAGTTGATCTGCTAACTTCACACGCATATTTTGCCTTCGCGTCGAAAAGTGACAATTTTCCACCAATTCGCGCCTCGTTAACATCGTTAGCAGGAATTACGTGAAAGTCGTCATTGAGATTGAATTCAACGTAACCCAGTCGGACTCGAGTCTGCGTAAAGTCTTAAGCAGTGCTTGTTTATCCCTCGCGTTATATCCTATTTTAACGAACGCCGAACGTCAATACGAACTCTGTATAACGAAAAGTAGGCTACGAAAAGTGGCGTAAGCCATGTTATTTCGGGAAATTATGGCAAATATTATTTCAAGATTCCTCCAATACCTCCCGCAGCTCTGTGAGTATACATATATAATACCTAGGACGTACACCCGACAGACTCCAGAGACAAGCGTACCACTGAATTCGTAATAAGAAAGGTACACAAGCAAGAAGAGGCAAGTCGTTCACGTTTATCGTACAATAAAAGTGCGAATCATCGAATAAAGTCAATACGCATGAAGGGATAATATTTATTTTGCATAATAATAATATTAAAAAAAATGTTCACTCCCACATAAAATCGACTACATAACCAAAGTACCGATTATTCGAATTTCATTAATAGTACATAACTCAATAAGCATACATGTTGCGAATCACATGTAATTTTCACAGGTAGTTTCATACGTTAAAAAATGTCAATCAAGTCCGGACGGTTTAACCGCAGAGAACTATACGCTGGCGTACATATCCCCTTTGACTTTTTAGCACTCGCCATTTCACCTGTCCCCTGTATACCTTTTGCTTCCCTTCACCGTTAACACTTGCGAGTAACGTCCACTGGGCTGTAAAGGCGGTTGTAAACACGCCCCGTAACAGTGGGAACAGTGAAAAGCATTTTCGCACGGTGTACGGCGCACAACGAAATATGCCCCTTTGGAAATACCAAAAATTGCCGCGTACGGCGCCACCGTTCTTGACGTTAACGCGACGCGATACAACGAGCGCGTCAACGTCCACCGTTGTTAAACTCCCTGACGTCACGCCAGCTCCGATCGACGTCGACGCTCGGCTACGAAAATTCGAATACCGATAACTCTTATCAACAGGTTATACGAACGAGGTGAAAAATCGATATTGAACTATAACGAACGATCGTCCTTGGATTTTATTACCTGAAAGGCAAACGACGAGTGAGCTTTAAACGATCGACCAATGGGATTGAGCGTATTGACGCTGTCTATGACGTCATCCTACGTATTATTAAAGTACAGCTAGGCATCGGTACAACGTATACTTTGGCGTACGATTAAAGTCCGTGTATAAGAGAGTCGTATAATTTTGATTATTGTTTTCAGAAAATGACGTCATCGATGACACATATCACGTCGATAAAATATTGTTATATACGTCGAGCGATGATTTTGATTTTTTTTGTAAATATATTTTTTATTAGTTTTATTAATTAATATATTGTCGCGAGTATCGACGATGGTCGTATTGTTTATTGGATGGTTGTAATCAATTTTCACTGGAGCTAATCAATCGTTTTCTTCTCGTGTGGGGTAGCGGCGAAAGGGTACTGTACTCAACGCGTAAGCCGGCAATCGATTTAGAAGCTGATACACAGCTTCCCAGGTGGTAATATACACGTATGTTTTTATTCGTTTGTGTGTATATATATATATATATATATAGTTCACGGAAATCATCGGATTACTTTGCCATTATGACGCTGCAGCGGGAATTGTTTCGTATACTCTGACTAGACGCTTCCGTTATGCAGTTCACGGAAATCATCGGATTACTTTGAGCTTCCCAGGTGGTAATATACACGTATGTTTTTATTCGTTTGTGTGTATATATATATATATATATATAGTTCACGGAAATCATCGGATTACTTTGCCATTATGACGCTGCAGCGGGAATTGTTTCGTATACTCTGACTAGACGCTTCCGTTATGCAGCCACTTTACCTTGTTACTGGCAAAGTAATGAGATTTCCCTTCGCCTTTGGACTCTCAATGTAAAATCGATTTTCCACTAGCTCCGCCAGAGTGCACTGTGTACACGTGAAATATTTGCAGAGCAAGGAAATACCCGCGACGGGAACGAGAATGAAATTTTGAAAGCTCCCAGCGAAATTTTCAAACCACACCGCTGCAGCATCGGGCGACGAGCAAATTACGTTGAAGCCATATAGGGATAGCTCGTGAGTCGCGTGGATGGCAACTTTTTGTCTTAAAAAATTTTTTTTTAAACCTACATATATTTAGTGGAAATTTCATATAGGTTTCGCAATGTCAGGCCAGTTAAGAGCCGCGTAATAATTGCAATGTAAATTACGAAAGCCATAAGTATTTCGCGCACAAGTTAAATCGCAAAAAAGTAGTATTTTACCAAAATCACGAAATTCTATCTGGAACGCGCATACCTCATTGTTCGCAAAGAGAAATTCTAGGAAATAGGAAAAAAAAAAAAAAAATATCCACAATCACTCACCGAGTGGCGTTGATCGTGAAGATCGTCTCGATCGATCTTCGATCCAGTATCCCGCTAAGGAGATACTGCAGCGCAATCAGCGCGAGCACGAGACACGCCAGGGCCTTGTAGAGGTGGGCGCGGTGCCACAGTGCCACAGCTGCGGCCAGAGACATTGCATCCGCGAGACAACATCACTTCCTCCTGTAGCCGGAAGAAGACAGTGCTCCCTGCGAAGTCACTTCGGTATCGAGTGGATCGACCTGGAGACGATAACCTTCGTCGGATATTGGATGCAGCATCACCGCTTGCGTATGGACCGGGACTATAGTGCCTGAAAAATCAAAAATGCAAGAAACCATTAATAGTCTCGTAGCCACGTGTACCTTCGTACATAATTATTGTATTTTTTAATACAAATTTTATCATTCTTATTAGTCCAAGCAATCTGTATATACAATATAAAAAAAATGAAATATGGCTAAAATCAATCCTACGTATCGCTTAATTTTAACACTCAAAATTCACATAAATCTCACGCACTCGTGTCACACTCCATCCATGTACATATAGATTTATAGTATTGTTAAAATATCAACCGATATTTTCGGGCAATTCACAAAAGCGATTGAAATTTAAACTATGAGAATTACAAAATCAACCGCCCGTCGTTATTGAAATATATATAGATTATTGTATGTAAGTAAAGTGGACAATACCGATGAATATTGTTGACGAGTCGTCATATATCTCGTCCTTAGTCTCGTCGTCACATCGGCATTATATTTCGTGAAACAGAAGATTATTCAGGATTGGCTGATGGGTTCTCTTTAGATTCTCGTTCTGAATGTTTTTCATGCCACGCGGTTTCGATTGCTTTAGTCGATAAAATGGCATAATCAAAATAGAAACCCTGTCGCCTGGTATCTCTCGCTGCTGATATACTTGGTGGATACACTCGATAACACAAAGAGAATTCAGTGTTTCGCCGCAGACAGTCGATTTGCGAAATGGATGAGCGAGCCTCGTGCGCTTAGCTATCTCGGTTCCCGTGAAAGGAGAGAGGGGATATCAGTATATGTATACGAGTGCCCTCGGTGTAGCTTAGGATAATTAAGATGTAGAAAATAACTCCGTCGATAACCAACCGTTATGTATATGCGTTGATCGCGGTTTCGTATGAATATAGGATATGAGACGTTTCGTGATTTTGGAGCCTTCGGAATCACGAGACTTTTTGTAGGGTTTGTGCACTGGGCAGGCGTCTTCAGAAACAATTGGACAGTGGAGTTTTTAAAATAAAAAAATAATTATATATTGTCCTATAAGTTACAGGACTAGGTATCCTTAATATTCTATTTTCTTTCTCTCACACGTGCATTCTCACACTTTATAATTGTCTCTCGTTTGTACCGTAGGCGACAACAAGTGTTTTTGTTTACTTATTCTCTCTGCTAGCCTTTTGGATAGGAGAGAGGTAGTAGGAACCACAATACAGCAGATTACACAATGCGTCCGAAGACCGTGGTCCAGTTGAAGGTTAGGATGATAATGATTCAGTACCCACGGGAGATCACAATGAACCCCGTTTGCTGAATCCCTTGTCTTAAGGATAGGTTCGACTCAGACAGCTACTAATCGCAATGATATTGGGAGCTGAATCTTTTTAAGGTGGGTTGTTTTTGTGGATGAAGAGGATTGGTTTTTTTTCCGAGCTTTTTGATAATTTACACTTTCCAAATCTTTACTTGCTTCTTGTCGTCTTGTGGTTTACAAGGGTCTTGTCGATTCGTCTAGATAGATACGAGTGGACCGAATGAATTCCTATCGAGGAAGCCGCTGCTTATATCCTCGATAGGCCTACGTTAAAACTAGTGGGGACAACGACTTTTATCCACCCGAGGTGTTAACGTCGCTTTTTGGATTCAATATTTTGATTTACGATTGGATTTGACTATTTGATTTGACCGATTCGATTAGCGGTTTCTTCAAGTACCGGCTTACTGGTGTTTCTATTGTATTCGGCGCGTGCCGGCTTATAGCGTCTGGGCACTTGTTTGTTTTGATTTCAGTCTGTCGGCTGTATTTCGGATTCTGGGAATATTGAAAGTAATAATTTCTAATATTATATCCTCATGACTGTCGCTGTGACTAGTTTCAAGGGAATTATGCAATATTAGAGAATTAAAGGTCCTATATACTCTTTCCTCTATCGGCGTCGCTGTGAGAGGTCGATAGGATTATTGAGGAATTCAAGGATTTGAGGAGTTCTCTCAGATACTGTTATGCACATCCACAGTGCGCTATAGGTAGATAGCTCTTTTAATTAATTAACTCTTAACTCTTTATAATAATTCTAAATTTCTTAATTTGTGGGGCTCTTGACGTATCAATCATCGAGAATGGCTGTTTAGGAAGGAAAAAGGATAGAGGATAGGGGGGTATAAGGGTGGAACGTTACAATATGTATATATGCACTGCAGGACGCATAAAAAGTTTTAAAAATAGTAAATGAAAAATTTTGAAACCGCCGGTACACTTGCTTCAAGAGATACGTAAAATTTAGAGTCTCGCAAATCGACGTTCCCACAGCGATGTATCCCGGCGTAGTTGCATATCGTAGGTGATGCTGCGGTTGCAGGTGCGTTGCACATACCGAATGAAATATACGGGAGGTAGGATAAGCACTGCTACGTTAAATTTTACGAACGTTAAGAAAAAAAGAGAATTATGGAAAGAAAGAAAAATTATAAAAATTTTAATAGGTCACTCGATTTACGATACAAGGAACACTGGGAACAAAGGATCGAGGGTTCATCGTAGGACAGAGGGAGATAGAGATATGAATAAATCAATACCTCTCAGAAGAGTGAACTAGAAGCTGATAAAAGAGATAGAGACGAAGTCGTAGTACGAGATTCGAAGGGATAAGAGATCAGCTCCCAAGATAGAATCGATCGGTAGGAAGAGGCTGTGAGGTTGGATTCGTGCATTAAAAAAAAAAAAGAAAAAAAAAAAAAGAAAAAAAGAAAAAAAGAAAAAAAAAGAAAAAAAGAAAAAAAAAAGAAATCGAACACAACCACTTTACGTAGGAAAATTTTCAAAAATTTTCGACGAAAAAATTTTCTACAAAAAATCTCACGGCCCTGTGCTGTCCGTATACCAAGTGGCGTTACGTATGTATGTGCAGCTGAGAGCACGCGTTAAGCCGCACACGCACCAGACCGTACAGAGCCGACGCGTCGGATCTGCAGCGACAGCAAGTCGGTGCCGAATGATAATAGAGAGATCGATAACAAGCGTCAATAGGCTGTACGTGAAAATGGTCGTGACGTAAAGCAGCAATAATAACAATATGCAAAATAATTACATACACTATGGATTAATCGATAATCAATTTGATCGATAGTCAATTAAGGGATTAAGGACCGATTAAGTAACTTTTAAATATATACATATATATGTATATATGTATACACGCCCTAACTAAAATCTCGTACAACTTAACGTGTTAAACGTCGATTAGTTCAGCGCCATCGATGAACCTAATTGTTGATACACACATTAGTTAACGAGTGGCAATTGCATAAGTGACAAAAAGGAGAAGCCTAATCGTCAAATTTCGCCGTTTGATAACACGTAGGACGGATGACTGGTATGCACGTGGCATATGACGTGTCTGTATATGCGCGTACGCAACCTATCTCCCATCTTCTCCAGTCTCGTTAAGGACGTACATACATATATATACGTCACGTCCGGTACGTGGCTATCCTATACGTATAGCTAAGTCCAGCTGCTAGTTTATCTAATACTCGGTATACCTATATATGTCTCGCGTTATGTTACTCCGCCACTGAATTCCAAACTGTTGTATGCACTAGGATCGCATACATTTACAATGGTTATATGGTGAGTCCACATTGGACGACAATCGGCCTTGGTATTCTATAGAATAAAATTTCTACGGAGACTGTGTAGATAGGTGATAACACGTGTCACTCGTGTTAAAGTAGAATCGCGTGATATTTTGGATTTAAAAAATTTTTTGTTAATTAAACAAATTTTTTTAAATCGAATACGAAGTATCGTAAATGATTTTTCTTTTATGAGAGCAACGCTCTGCATCGAATTTTTGAAACGATGAAATCTGTCAAAAATAATACACGCGTGTTCCGTACATACGTTATGGTCCAAGTTGAAGCACTGAGCTGCAATAAAAATGGTGTTGCTATATGTATTGTCGTGCGAGTTATCAATCGGTACTATAGAAAACCTTCGGATATCGTTTTATTAATTCTCGCCGACATATTCGCGTATTTCAATAATGCACAGCTGTATACTGACAGACCACGAGATACGGCTTATGCAATCGTCTGTGGCAAATAATTTAATGTAATTTCCTTTGAAGAGGGATAATACAAACGTTTACATGAAAATACAGCGTTCGTGCAACGTGGCATAAATTAGAGCAGCATTTACGCCGTACTCGGTATACGACTACTGGCAACCATGTGAACGGCCAAGCATTACGGATAATGATTTACGATAACCATACACGAATAGAGCATAAGTACAGTCTAGTTAATAACCATAATTGGATAGGAATAAGTGGCGAGTGATCAAAAAGTCAAGACCGCGTAAGTGACCGGCACGTTACCTTTGCTTCGGGCTGATTCGCAACGAGCGACAGTATGAATAACGCACACACTTGCCACGCTTATTATCCCACGGTAGATTAAAAAAAGATCGTTTTTACACGCCTCGTGAAAATGATTGGTCCCCAAGATGGCGCTCGTTGACTTAGGTCATTGAAACCAATAAAAACGTCAAGGGTAGTAGTGAGAGTTTCTATGTACAAAGTTACGCTGTCCAAGATAGTACAGTGCGATAAGTATCGTAAGTCGTAAGTATCCATTGGAACCCCGTGGAGCATAGATGGCGCCACGAGCGCGCTACGTGAACCAGAGCCAGAAAGCCACGCAACCCTTCCGTCCATTAAGGACATTAAAAGACCACGTGTCCGCCACTTAGAACTCGTTAAAAACTTTCAAGGAATTTTATTCCTGCCATATATTTTCCTTCGACATTCATTGACAATTACGTCACGTTTTTTCGCCCTGTTACGTACATCCCAACGATTACCTGTAATCCGGCCGAAGTCACATTTGCCGTGAGTTCGAAGACTCCCGAATAGATATACCCGGTAACACCCGTTATAGCCGCAAGGGGATCGAAAGTGGTTTAGTTCGACTTTACGTTAGATTTTAGTCCCGAAATTGCTTCCTCAATTACAAAAATAAAAACGTAACATGATATACATATATGTGTATG